CCTGTCACTCCAGGCCCTTGTGAAAAGCCTCCTTCCATATCAGCAACACACTTTGAGTACATATAAGGTTTTAGTCTAAAAATATAAGCTGTGTTTGCGGTTCAAGATTTGTGTCAGAGGTTTAAAACGTCGCTGGATCTGTCGTGGCATCTGAGCTGAGCCTTTGGTTACAGAGAACTTGCAGCTTCTCCCCAGACAAAACGTTGTTTCAAGTGAGGAAAACGAGATGAAAAATGAAAATCTTGTTTTCTGCAAATGGGCAGTGGGAGAGGAGGGTGGGGGGGAGGCTGTGGCAGGCCAGGACAGTGGAAAAATCCAGTGCCTGAACCAGTTCCACTTGGAATTGCAGGAAGCAAAACTGAAACTAAGCTTGCTTGACTTTCAGGCTTAGAAGTGGAACTCCCCTGGCACTGCCCAGAATAGTCTGAATTATTTAAATGAACGTTGGATTTGTCTGCATTTGTCACTAAATACCAGAATTGTTGATCTCTGCTCTTTGCTGGTGTTTGTGTTGGTGGGAATTATTTCCCTTGTTGCAGGCATTACTGAGATGGATTTCTGAACCGTGTCACTGGCTGAGTGTGGTTCTTTAAGAAGCAGAGAAGCTTTCCACAAGTTCAGTGGGTAAAGAGAATGTTTTCAGCGAGGGAAACCGAGATCAGAAATGCTGATGGAGCTTGTTCCATTTAAAACCAGCCTTTTTGCTGTTTAATGAGCAGATTGTTTCATCCTTAAAAGCGATGGTGGCAATCTCAGAATCTCTCACAGCAAAGTTAAATACCTAATTCATATTTCAATAAAAACAAAACAGAGTCGACTATGTGTTTTGCCTCAGTTGCCCTGGATTATTATTGATTTGTAGAAGGTATTTCAACTGATTTCTGATGTTCTTTGCTCCACTTCTGCTCGTTTCTGAAGCAGCTTCTCCTCAGTCCTTGCACAGTAAGCACATTTTTTTCTGTCTGCAATGTTATTCATGCAGACTGATTTTATAAGCTGCTCAGTTTATTGGGAGCTGAGAAGCCCTCTGGGGAGCTGTAGCTTGGCATGAAGTTTGGCATGAAGTCAGGGCTGTTATTCAATATGTTTTTGTCTCTTAAAAATAAATTCTTGGCAGTTCCCTCTCTGGCAATCCCTGGGGCAGGTGTGTGGCACACGAGGGCTCTGACCTTGAGTTAAAGGCAGAGGCAGCATCACTGTGCAGCTCTTTGCATCATCTGTGAACAGATAAAAGGTTAACTTGGATGGTTTTTTGGCTTCTGGGCAGCCAGCAAAGCTCCTTTGCTCTCTGAGCAGGTAGAACTGACTCTGGACTGCAAGCAGTGATTTGCTTGAGATACCAGCAAGTCATAAATCATAACCTGTAAAGGCTTTTTGTTTGATCTTCAGCCAGATGGGATGTTCAAGGTACTATAAAGCTTCCTGGGTTCAGTTCCCTTTCCCTGGAAGATAA